TATAGGACTATCCAAATCCACTTTAGAAGCTGTTAACTTTTTTTTTACGGATATCACATGAGGTGTCTGCCATTAGCCAACACCGCTAACTTCATTTAACTTATTTTCCACCCCACTAAACACAGGTTAAACTCGTACCCCACCGTCCAGTACACAGCTCGACGTAGGAAGCTAATAACTAAAAAAAACTACGTCACTCAGGTCAAATTAATGATTACTGACAGATAGGGAAATGCATTCTGGATAAAATAACATTCCCATTTAAAAACATTAGAAAACGTCGGCACTTGGGTGGGATTGTTACCACGGGGCTGTAGGGCTGGGCCTGTCAGCTGTCCGTGTACTTTCTACTCCACCTTGTCTCAATGTTCTCTGATATGTGTTTTAATTCTATTTAAACCTATTAATATTTGTGCAAGGAGCTGAAGGTTGCCGACCCCTGACGTAGAACATACAATAGCTGAACTGATTTTAACTGGGTATGGCAACTCTAAGAATATAAAATAATTTAAAGAATGTTTCAATTTTTAAATTGATTTAACTGCTCTATTCAAACAAAGTGTTAATAATTAATGCCGGATTTATCAACGTCGCATTTTAAGTTTAATAAAATTACTTCACAAATACCTTCGTTATTCTTTCTTCCCTTGTTTCCAAGTTCTGGTTAAAGATTTGAATCAGCTTGTCAATGGGCATCAATCTTTGTTGGAGTAGTTTGCACAGTACGTTTTGCTGAAGAGCAGAGTGTTATATAAAAGCGTTATAATTTTGCATATTGTATCTAACATAAACATGCGTCTTAAAATTAGTAATTATTTTAAAGTATAACTGCTGTTACTAAGTTGATTTTTCATTTAACCTGGTTATAATAAGCTATCTGGCGAGTGTGTGTAAAATTGTGAATACACATAATTAGCAACTTTACCTTTTCTAATTGAGTTGATGTATTACACAAAATTTTATCACACTCCACTTGTAGGGCAGCCATCAGATCCGAATGTCTTTTAATTTCTTGTGTTATACTGTCTATTTTGTCTGTGTAATCTTGAAACTCTTTATTTATTTTGTGTAAGTTGTTTTCATATTCTTTTATATCTTGAGACAGTTTCTCTAGTGTTTTGTTTGACTTGGTTTCTTTTTCTTTTAAACTTTCAATTTCTTTGTTCAGCTCCTTTACTTTGATATCTTGTTCACTCATTTGTTTTCTAAGGTTTTTAAAATTCTGATTTTGTTTTTTAGTCCGTTGTTCAATGTTTACCCCCATGTCATTCTGTTCTGTTACAAAGTTGTCTCTCCATTGTTTTATTTCTGATATGTCATCTGTAGACTTGTGTTGTGTGTCCTGTAGTGAAGATAGTGTTGTTTCAATATAGGCGAGTCTACGCTCTAGGTCAGGATGTTCTTCAACTGAGAATAGTCACAAATATAAGTTTGTAATTTAAAATGTCTGGAACCTTGATAAATAGGTTCTCAAAACAGCGTTAAACGTAGAAACGTTAATATAAAATATTTTAAAAATTAAAATAAAACAAAATGTTCAAGTTTTAACATTTCATACAATATAGTATGCTGCTGTTTAACTTGTTATACCAAATAAAACTAAGGCATACCCGCTGTATGTTTGTCTTGTGTGATGAGTTGACTTGGTGATTCTCCTGTGAGAAATGTTGCTGTTGTCTGTGCGTCAGGTTGTGGTAAAGATGGCGTTGGTTTGTTGACATCCTTGTTGTCTTCATCTGGTGGATTGGGGTTTAGAATTTTATTTTAGTTACAATTCAAGGAATAATGTTTACTTGTACATACACAACTTCTAGTAAGCTGCAAACTGTTATAATTTTTTACAATATTTGTTTTCAAATTTAGGAAATCAAATTTTATTGAAATTCATTTTCGCTTAAACATCAAATCTCTTCCTTCTGTTAAATTTTCCAGGTCTACATATTTACATATTAATTTATTTTAAATTGAACTAAGAAGTGTATACCGAATTTATAAATTGAAAGTGTAACATTAATTTTTAACAAAGGGGTTTAATGAAAAATCAGATAACATTCTATTAAGTTATTCTTTCTAACTCTATTTATGAATAAATAAAGTACTATAGTTAATTTTAAATCCTAAATGTTTACCTTATAAATTATAAATGTTAAAAATGTGTTAGTTTTTTCCTATATGTCAATCTCTAAGAAAATAAAATGTTGTGTGATAGTGGATTGAGAGTGAAATTATATCCCTTAATAATGGTATGTCCCATTTCTTTAAGGTAAATTGTAAGAGAAATTCTTTTCATTTTTCTCACACCTATTTTTTAGGCTACATGACAGCAGGCTTAGAGATTTTAAATTATAAAGTTAATTAAAAAACTGACCTGAAATATGTGACGTCACATCCAACAAGGCCGTGGCTGCTGTGTCCAGTTCTTGTGATAGCTCGATGTAGCTGACAGATGATTGGTCAGTTTTTTCTTCTAGCCACGCCTTACTTTTTGCAACAACCTGGTGATCACAAACATAAACATTATTTCAATATGCCAGGCTTGGTATGGCTTTTTTATGAGAAAATATCAAACGTAAAACACTTTCTACCGTCTAAATGTTACTTTGTTAGTTTTCAAATATTAATAAGTATATTAAGTTGAAATTTCTCTTTATATATATATATATATATATATATATATATATATATATATATATATATATATATATATATATATATATATATATATATATATATAATTAGCTTTATTTTACTTTTGGAAAATTTGTTCAGAGAAATTTAAAAAAAAAATAGTGTTATAACAGAAGAGCGGTATTAAATTACCAGTTGATTTAAAATGTTTTTATCTTACATTTTTCATAAGTTCAATGGTAGGTTCCAGAACTTGTATCTTTTCTTCCAAATATTTTATCTGTTTAGTAACAACCTTGACCTGAATTCGTGTAGGCATCTGGTTTAAAAATAGAATCTTCACTTATTACATTTTTTTGCTAGTCGCATAAGTCATTGTGATAGATCATAGAAGACAGAGACATTTGGTTTACTAACAAGGGTTAAAGAGGATATGTTTAGTCTATTATGCTTAAGACAGATGTGTTGAAATAATTTATGTTTCATGAAACATAATTAGGCCCTACATTGTAAAAAAAAGTAGAATGAGGTTTATCCGTAGTTCTTACGATCGTTGATGTAGAGATAGGTGTAAACATTTGCAGACGTATGTGTTAGCATCTGTGAAAATATACATTGCCACCCCCCCCCCCTTTACCGCATGATTGCTACAACACAGCAAAAAAATGCCAAGCTGTGATACAAAGGTGTGATACCAGATCGTGAAACAAAGGTGTGATACCAGATCGTGAAACAAAGGTGTGATACCAGATCGTGAAACAAAGGTGTGATACCAGATCGTGAAACAAAGGTGTGATACCAGATCGTGAAACAAAGGTGTGATACCAGATCGTGAAACAAAGGTGTGATACCAAGGTGGGATACAACATTGTGATACAAAGGTGTGATACAAAGGTGTGATAACAAGGTGTGATACCAGATCTTGAAACAAAGGTGTGATACCAAGGTGTGATACCAAGGTGTAATACAAAGGTGTGATACCAAGGTGTGATACCAAGGTGTGATACCAAGGTGTGATACCAAGGTGTGATACAAAGGTGTGATACCAAGGTGTGTTACCAAGGTGTGATACAAAGGTGTGATACCATGCTGTGATACAAAGGTGTGATACCAAGCTGTATTACAAAGGTGTGATACCAAGCTGTGTTACAAAGGTGTGATACCAAGCTGTGATACAAAGGTGTGATACCACGCTGTGATACAAAGGTGTGATACCAAGCTGTGATACAAAGGTGTGATACCAAGCTGTGATACAAAGGTGTGATACCAAGCTGTATTACAAAGGTGTGATACCAAGCTGTGTTACAAAGGTGTGATACCTGAATGTGACAAATGCCCGAGTTTCAGTGCAATGATGTTGTATAGGTAATTGCTATTTTAATTTCTTTTAATAAGAAGCAGGTTTTACTATAGGCCAAAAGCTGAAGTACTACAGGTTGAATACGTTTGTTATTAGCACGGTTCAGTAGACAAAATATTTTGTAATATTATTTCTTCTGTTGAGAATAATAAGCTTTTAATTGAAGTGAAAATAAGAAAATAAACTAAACTTACTTATATTAAAAAAAAGAGCAATTATTGATTAAAATGTGTAGGCTATGTGACTTCATAATCGTTATTCAGTTTATTTCAAAGATTATAATTATTTAAAATATATTTGTTTTAGTTGAAAACCCCTCCCTACATCCATTCCTGTATAATTTTTAGGTGATTTGATATAACATTTACATGTATGTGTTTATGTTAATTTTAACCTTGTAAAGTGTTTAAAGTACCCACTAGAACTCTCTTGATTTGAGATGACGTAGTCGACTCTAGCCCGAAATCCGAACCCGACACTTTCAGGTTATCACATGACATACCACACGACCACACCGTTCCAATGTTAAAGACTGAAAATGGTAACGGTCGACTTCAGCATTGATGTGAGTTACTTTAATTTGTGCTTTCACACGCGATGCTACAAATAGATCTTTATGTTATAACTGGGGTCTATGTTACCCGCAGTTATGCAGTGAGAGGGTACTCAATACCATTATGTTCCTCTTTAACCATTCAGTAGGTTTTCCAAGAGATTCAACATAGAACAGGACGACATTAACGTAGATATATGATTGGACAGGATGACAGCAGTTAACTCAATAGTTTTTACACTATAAAAATACATAGGACGACTTGAACGAACTATAATGAGACTTGACAACACTACGACCTCACCCTAACACATCTTCATTCGTTTATTATATCTTTCGCACCAATAGTCGTTCACATTTACACACCTGATCAAAAAAACATCATAACACTTTACTTGAGACTAAAAGTGAACATTTTATTATGTAGCTGAATTTTAAATTCAGTTTCTTTTTCACCAAAATGTTTCTGCTATGTTATTAATTAAAAATGAAAATATCTACTAAAGATCGAATTTATAAAATAGACCTCATTTAGCGCTTTAAGTTAATTTTGTCAGCGAATGCGGGAATTTAAAAAAAAATGTCGGCGATGTTTGTTTCATAGTCTGTTTAAAAACATCGCTATTTATACTGCCACTGTATGGTGTAATCCATCTCAATGTATCACGGACTACATGTACATAACCTGTTATATGTGTATTGACATATAAAAATATTCAAGATAAATCATCCGATATAACCTTGCCCTATCGTTTGTTGATTATAAAGTAAATAGATGGGAGTTGGAAAACAAGCTAACAAAACTATATATATATATAACATTCTTAAGATATATATATATATAAATATTTATATGGGTTGTGTGTTAATTTACTGATACAACGATAGTTAATAAAAAATAAGGGTTTTTAATGTAGAAAAATTGAAGACTTTTTTAATTGAAGGAATGTAATGATCACAATAACAGTTACTTCCAGTAGGCCTATAGAAAAAACATTTTTTTTCTTGACGAATTCAAAATTTGGACTAGCTTTTTTAATACTTATGATAAATATTTATTTTCTCTAGTAAACGTATTCAAGCCTTCGTTTTTTAAATAGTTTATTTTATTGTGTCAAAGTTCTAGATTTTAATTACATATTCAACAAGAACAATACGTTCATCTATAACACATAAAATGTAGAAATGCAAATTAACAGATTTTTTTTAATCATACACCTAGCGCTCACATACAGAGAAGATGATGATGGCAATAAATTAGAATGAACTGTGTAATAATAACTAAACAAATAACATATAAACCATTGTAGTTTATGTAAACAAGTAGTGTACATTCATAATAAGTTGTTAGCATGTGTTTACTATGTTGGTTACATATTTTATTGTTTTGAGAATTTACCATACACCATGTTTTGTGTTGTACTTCTATAAACTAACGATAGTAAAACTACTTATCAAGGATAATTTTGCGCCTTGTTCTGCTTGAAACACTTTCAGGTAAAGTTCTTGACCTTTCTTCATGTCAACAACCACTGACCCAGCAGCGCTAGAGGCGGCACATTGCAATTGTATAGCAGTACACCACATGTCTCCAGTCCACACACCAACTATAATCTGTTTAAATCCCCATTCATTTAGAGTCACACTGACGAGATATAAACCATCATGTGGCGATACAAATTTTCCTGTTGTTCGATTAAAATGTTGACCGTTATATTCACGTACTTCACTAAATGTTGAAATAATTGATTCAGCACTGACAGGTGTGTTATTAGCAAGCTGTACATAACAAGCATATCTGTTACATACACGTGACTCTGTTAATTAGAAAACATATGTATGATTTACATGTTTAATTCCACACATGCTCTGACTATTTGTTCAATAATATTTGTTAATTATCGTATTATTAGTTTTATGATAATAACCCTATACATACAATCCTTATATATGTTTTGTGTGTTGTTCAGAATGTAGGAAAAAAGGGCAAACCCAAATCAATCCATTTTTAACAAAAAATAAATTGTGTATAATAATCCATATTGTTTACATAATTCTGTCAAAGACCATAAATTAAAACACTAGACCACTAGTTTAGTACGGTCCTCAGTTGTAGTGGTGTTAGTGTATCGTGTCCTATGTATTGAAACTACGTGTGTAGTAGGTGACATAATACGTCACAAAAAGTACAACAAATATTATTAATATATATGTATGTCGTAATCACCCAGTCCTTATGTGTTCATATTATAGTTTATATTTGGTTTATTTTGTTAAACTTATAAAAACGTAATTAAATCAATGGTAAGATTAGCACAATTAACCTTTATCATTGCTGAATTCATGTTACAGTAGAATACTTAGATATTCAGGTGTTAATCAACGAAACCGTTATTAATGTTTTCAAGTTATCATTTTATTTTGGATTTAATTCACGGCTCGCATACGACTCCACATAAGACTCCACATAAGACCACTGTAGGTCGCACCCGACATATCAGGTGGTGTAATGTACCAGGTGAGGAAACAAACACCTGACGGAAACCCACGGGTCTAGAGACTGGCACTATGGGTGAGTAAAATGTTCCATTCTTTATCACGTTATTGTCAGTCTGGCTAACGAACATCACGTTATGATCTGTCTGGCTAACGAACATCACGTTATGGTCTGTCTGGCTAACGAACATCACGTTATGGTCTGTCTGGCTAACGAACATCACGTTATGGTCTGTCTGGCTAACGAACACCACGTTATGGTCTGTGTGGCTAACCAACATCACGTTATGGTCTGTCTGGCTAACGAACATCACGTTATGGTCTGTCTGGCTAACGAACATCACGTTATGGTCTGTCTGGCTAACGAACATCACGTTATGGTCTGTCTGGCTAACGAACATCACGTTATGGTCTGTCTAACGAACATCACGTTATGGTCTGTCTGGCTAACGAACATCACGTTATGGTCTGTCTAACGAACATCACCTTATGGTCTGTCTAACGAACATCACGTTATGGTCTGTCTGGCTAACGAACATCACGTTATGGTCTGTCTAACGAACATCACGTTATGGTCTGTCTAACGAACATCACGTTATGGTCTGTCTGGCTAACGAACATCACGTTATGGTCTGTCTGGCTAACGAACATCACGTTATGGTCTGTCTGGCTAACGAACATCACGTTATGGTCTGTCTGGCTAACGAACATCACGTTATGGTCTGTCTGGCTAACGAACATCACGTTATGGTCTGTCTGGCTAACGAACATCACGTTATGGTCTGTCTGGCTAACGAACATCACGTTATGGTCTGTCTGGCTAACGAACATCACGTTATGGTCTGTCTAACGAACATCACGTTATGGTCTGTCTGGCTAACGAACATCACGTTATGGTCTGTCTAACGAACATCACGTTATGGTCTGTCTAACGAACATCACGTTATGGTCTGTCTGGCTAACGAACATCACGTTATGGTCTGTCTGGGTAACGAACATCACGGTATGGTCTGTCTGGCTAACGAACATCACGTTATGGTCTGTCTGGCTAACGAACATCACGTTATGGTCTGTCTGGCTAACGAACATCACGTTATGGTCTGTCTTGATAACGAACTTCTTTTAACAAGTGGTTATGTCCGTTTAATAGAAAGGCAGATAGTGAAATATTTAAATATAATTTGAGAGATTAAGGGTGAAATTTTAAAAATAGTTAACAAAACGTGAAAAACATTTACCGATTAGTTATCATTGAGAATTTTTTGATAGCTTATACTATTGTTATAGTTAAACGAGAAAATCAAAAGGTAGAATTGTCATAAAATCACAATTGTTATATAAGTATGATTAGAAATAATCTTTTCTTTCAAAGCAAACTTACCGATAAGATGGAAATCGATGGACAACTTTGAAATAGTATTTTCAAGTTCGCTAAGCTAAATTCAAATAAAATAAATAACTGAAATAATTACATTATCTACAAAGACTATCATATATGACTGGTTCAGCTATTCCATAGATTATGTCAAATTTTAAGAAAAGAAAATATTTAACGTATTTTCTTATTTTAAGTATTAAATTATTTTTCTGTAAATTAAAAAAATAACAGACATATGTAGTCTAATAACAGACTTTTAAAGCGTAATATATGATGTATCAGTGTTGTAAATTATTTTTATGCAATCATTACAAATATACCTTCTTTATTCTTTCTTCCCTAGTTTCCAAGTTCTGGTTAAAGATGTGCAAGAGTTTGTCGATCGGCATCAACCTTTGTTGTAGGAGCTTGTACATCACACTGTTCTAAAGACCGACGATCATAATTGAAGATTTATTCATTTTAATATTTTTGTTGTATATTAAAGCTCACATACAATAAGCATTTATATAAAAGTTATAATTATAGGTTAATTTGTCAACTGCCCCTTTTAACAATTTGAAGTAAATTAAATGGTACGAAAAACAGCAATTTGTAAATTTACCTTTGATTGCAACTTTTCAAATTGGGTTGATGTTTTGACAAAGCTTTTATTATTTTCATCTTGTAAAGAAACAATCAAATCAGAATGGTTTTTAATGTCTTCTCTCATTTTTTTTTTAGTATAGTCATTTATTTATACAGAAACTGACCACAATAAATATCCTGTACAAATATATATAGTAGTTCATGCCTAAATATTTTGTATACTGTCAGTCTGTGACCACAAAAATAGATCCCAAAATTCGTTTTCATTGTAAAAATTTGTTTATCAGCTGTTTGTGGCCATCATGAGCATGCTCTTGGTTGACTACTGTTAAACTTTCTCTTCTTTAACACCATCAGCAAAGAAATACACAAAGGGTATTTCATCTGTTTCACCAGCTGGGGCTTCCCATCTGACTAAGGCAATGCTTCCATCAGGATTACTAGAAGATCCTGTGTAAAACTCGTAGTCGAAATTTGCACAAACTATCTTGAATGTGTTTTGAATCTCTTTCCGCCATGCGTCAACATCAAATTTAGCATCATTCTCCTTCTTGTTCTCTTCTATACGTTTGACAAAATCCTTAAAATATGCTTGGAATTCTTTCTTTGACCCAAAAGCAGTAGGCATAAGCCTGTTATCTAGCACAACATCAATGCCAGATGTGGAGTTTTCATCTGCACCTTCCTCTTGCTCTTCAGCACTGGGATTAGCACCAAGTAAAGAATCATCAACCTTGTCTGAACGAGTGACATATTTTCCTTTAATTTTGTACAGGCCATCCTTTAGTTCTATTGGGTAAGTATCTGTGAAAAGTTCATCTCCAGTAACGATACACTTGTAAACTCTCATTTTGGATGATGGTAATGGATTTGTTTCAAGACTAAAAAGTCTACTAATGCACGTACTCTTTAGGAGATGAGCTAATGTAATGTCTTCTCTCATACCGTCTCTTACATCTGTATTAGCTTGCATCTCTATGTTTATTTTATGTAATTTGTTTTCATATTCTTTCATATCTAGAGACAGTTTCTCTAGTGTTTTGTTTGACTTGGTTTCTTTTTCTTTTAAACTTTCAATTTCTTTGTTCAGCTCCTTTACTTTGTTATCTTGTTCACTCATTTGTTTTCTAAAATTTTTAAAATTCTGTTTTTGTTTTTTAGTCAGTAGTTCAATGTTTACCCCCATGTCACTCTGTTCTGTTACAAAGTTGTCTCTCCATTGTTTTATTTCTGATATGTCATCTGTAGACTTGTGTTGTGTGTCCTGTAGTGAAGATAGTGTTGTTTCAATATAGGCGAGTCTACGCTCTAGGTCAGGATGTTCTTCAACTGAGAATAGTCACAAATATAAGTTTTTAATTTAAAATGTCTGGAACCTTGATAAATAGGTTCTCAAAACAGCCTTAAACGTAGAAACATTAATATAAAATATTTTAAAAATTAAAATAAAACAAAATGTTCAAGTTTTAACATTTCATACAATATAGTATGCTGCTGTTTAACTTGTTATATCAAACAAAACTAAGACATACCCGCTGTATGTTGAACTTGTGTCTTGAGTTGTCTTGTTGATTCTCCTGTTAGAAATGTTGCTGTTGTCTGTGTGTCAGGCTGTGGTAAAGATGGCGTTGGTTTGTTGACATCCTTGTTGTCTTCATCTGGTGGATTAGAGTTTAGAATTTTATTTTAGTTACAGTTTAACTTAAGGGATAATGTTTAATTGTATATAGAATATTTCTAGTATGTTGCAAAGTGTTTTAATTTTTACAATATTTTTTTTTCAAATTTAGGAAACCAAATTTTATTGAAATTATAATTCGCTTAAACATCTAATCTTTTCCTTCTGTTAAATTTTCCAGGTCTACATATTTACATACTAATTTATTTTAAATTGATTTACAAAATAATTTATTTTCAATTGAACTAAGAAGTGAATATCCAATTTATAAATTGAAAGTGTAACATTGATTTGTAACCAAAGCGTTTAAAGAAAAATCATATAACATTCTATTAAGTTATTGCTATCTAACTCTCTTTATGAGTAAATAAAAAATTATAAATGTTAATTATGTGTTAGTTTGTTCCTATATGTCAATCACTAAGAAAATAAAACGTAGTGTAATAGTGGATCCAGAGTGAAAATAAATACCTTAACAATAGTATGTCCCATTTCTGTAAGGTAAATTGTAAGATTCTTTGCATTTTTCTCAAACAAAACGTTTAGGCTACATGACAGCAGGCTTAGATATTTTAAATTATAAAGTGAATTAAAAAACTGACCTAAAATATGTGACGTCACATCCAACAAGGCCGTGGCTGCTGTGTCCAGTTCTTGTGATAGCTCGATGTAGCTGACAGATGATTGGTCAGTTTTTTCTTCAAGCCACGCCTTACTTTTTGTAACAACCTGGTGATCACAAACAAAAACATTATTTTAACTGGCCACGTTTTGTAGGGCTGTTTTATGAGAAAATGTTAAACGTAAAACACTTTCTACCGTCTAAATGTTACTTTGTTGGTTTTCAAATATTAATAAGTATATTAAGTTTAAATTTCTCTTTATATATATATATAAATATAAATATAAATATATATATATATATATATATATATATATATATATATATATATATATATATATATATATATATATATATATATATATATATATATATATATGTATGTATATGTATAATTAGCTTTATTTTACTTTTGGAAAATGTGTTCAGAGAAATTTTAAAAAAAATTGTGTTATAACAGAAGAGCGTTATAAAATTACCAAGTGATTTAAAATATTTTTATCTTACATTTTTCATAAGTTCAATGGTAGGTTCCAGAACTTGTATCTTTTCTTCCAAATATTTTATCTGTTCTGTAACAACCTTGACCTGAATTCGTGTAGGCATCTGGTTTAAAAATAGAATATTCACATATTACATTGTTTTGCTAGTCTCATAAGTCAATGTGATAGATAACAGGGGACAGAGACTTTTAGTTTAATGCCAATCCTTAGTCTCTTTTGCTTTGGACGGACTTGTTGCAAGAATTTATATTTCATTGAACATAATTAAACAGGTAAAATAAGAATAGCATGATGTATAATCGTTTAACGGTCGTTGATGCAGAGAGACAAGTGCAAATATCTGTAGATCTGAAGACACGTGCACTAGCACCTGTGCAAATATTTATGTACACCCTTCTACCCCCTCCACCTACCGTATGACGGCTGCAACACAGCAAAAAATTATCAAGGTGTGACTCGAGAGGTGCACGATTTATGTAGAAATGATTTTGTTTGCAGTTTATAACTAAATATAAAGATTTAAATACACATTTATATAGAAGGTAAAACAAAATGTAACGTACTTTGGTTATTTTTAAGATTTTAGGGATACTTTTCGTTGTGAATACTATATTTGAGGGTAGGGGCGTTGTCAAGAATTTTGTTCGCGAGTATTTGTAAGCAGATACGACTGTTGTCGATGTAGATACTTCAAGTGAGGATATTTTAGACGTGTTAACAATGTAAACTAATACCTCAGTTGGCTACTGCTTGTGTTTGAAAACATAAAATACATACTACGTATCGAAACTTGTCAAATGTTGTCTAATTGACTTAAACTGAACTGAAAATACAAACCATGCGATAAATAAAATGGCAACAAATCACATCGATAGTTTTACAAAATTGCCTTAAATTTTAAGACAGTCATTACCCTGTCTACGACACGCTTTTAATTATTTTTATTAAATAATTACCTATTACAGCGTTTAAAAGTGTTATTCTATGAAAATATTTCTATTATATATATATATATATATGTATATATATATATATATGTTACTTTATACATTACTTATTACACGACAGTATTTACATATTTTTTACACAAACCTACAATTATAAAAGGTAGAAAGGTGAAACTGAAAGTTATTAACGGGAAAATCCGCTATTATAAAAATACCTTCCTTCAGGTTATAAAGATGGCGACAACACAAGACACGTACTAGATCTGCTGTCTTGTCTTCAACTAAAACATTTAATTAAGGTAACACGCACAAAAATTAAACACACTATCTTATTATATATTTATCTGTAGTAGGTGCCATCTTAATGCTTTCACAACTATTGAAAGAAAGAGAAATTCAAGTACATTTTAAAATTATTTTTAAAAAATATTACGCTTCATAAAAAATGTATTAGACTAGTAGTATTATATTTTTAATAAATAAAACATACACTTTTCTACATACTTTGTACCTTTATGGTTATCAGTAATGTATACATATTTTTTAATGGTATGTAAATTATATTTTTACACTTACTTCAAGGATAACTGCAGGAAATTTTACAGCTAGATCTAGATCTAAAATCCTTCTACAAACTGCTACGCTGCTCATGAAACCGAAATAACTGAACGGGAAATCCCGGTATTAACTAAAGAGTTGACGTCACGTTCCAAGGGACAGAACAGTCGCTTTCACATTCGCCTGACCCAAACACTTTAAGGTAATTCACAATATACAGGGGCTTAACTGTCATACCGCAATACGGGTGTAGAGGGGTGGGGGGGGGGGGCGTATTCCGAAAAAAACAACAAATATATTTTACACCTTTTTTAAACATATCTACTACAGCAGTGGTTGTTCTACATTATGTAGCACACACTGTCGCTTAGAGAATAATCTAGATTAGTTTTTGTGTGAAAGTTTGGCAAACCTTCTAATCATTTACATAACTTATCACTCCGCTTTAAATAGTATAATAGGGGAGTACAAAACAAATTAAAAAGCAATTTCTTCACTTAATTGTTAGTAAAATAAGGAATACTAAAGACTGACACAGACATAAACAATGATATTTTATATATCTTTTAGTTAGTGAGAACAAATTTTATTATAGAAAGCAAATTAATTATTATTTTTTTTAAACGGCCAATGTGAAAAAAGGCATACATGCCTATTGCTTTTACCTTTATTGAATACATTATTTTCTTATTTACAATATATTTAAAAGCTTGTTGTTACGTTTTTAAATCTTTGTTTATTTGTTTAAACTGTATCAACTATCTTTCGTATTTTCTCTCTATGAGTGCCATGAAAACAATCAATTTTCCAACTACCAGCTAAAAGCATTAAGTTTGTTGGTCTTGTCATATTTTAAGACGGTACAAATCAACAATTAGTCCCCGGGTCGATGTTTTATCGTAAACTCCAATAGTTGATGTGCTATTATGAACCCCAACAGTCGATGTTTTATTGTGAACCCCAACAGTTGATGTTTTATTATGAACAGTCTAAAAGCGTATCATACATTAGGGATAGTTAAGGTGGATGCTAGGTTGAGTCGTTTATTTCAAAAGAAAACACTTTCTACACCTAGGAATACAGAGCATACAAAACAGAGGAATTATGTTAATAAGTTAAATAAGACATTGACTGTCGAAGTTTATGTATGATTTATTACATTGAGATATTCCATTATAAATTCACTGACTTAAGAAAACCTACGTTTAATTATATTATTTTGCATGTTACAGTTTACATTGAGACATTTGATCAGATATTCTAAAACTAAAAATTAAAAGATCATTTTAATTACACCATTTTCTACGTCGCAGTTTACATTGAGATACTCTATCGAAAATACAATGAGGTAAGAAACTTTTAATTATATACTTTTGTATTTATGCACTACCCTGCACACAAACATTAAAATTAGATCCGTACTTTGAACACCAACCTAGTTACACACAAAAAGGAAAAATGTTGTTCACAAGTTTGTAGAAATGTGTTATGTTATTTTTATTTTTTTGCCTACACTATAGTCTACACATTGTCTATGTACATTTTAATGAGATTATAGGGTCACAAATATTGATAATTAATAGCTGATGTATTTATAAAGAGTATATTTAAAGGAAACAATTACATTAAATTAGTTTATATTTTCACACAGATGGCCGCATCGATTCCTATAAAGGAGCAATTAGCTCAATTGTTGAAAAATCTGGACGAGATGAATAGTTTGTTGAAAAATAATTTAAGTGACTTCGATCAACAGGTAAGCACATCTCATAGTACGATATATTCACAAAACATTAACTTATCTAGAACATTATTAAGCTACTTAAAAAATACAAACGCCTAAGCCTGTTACTAAGAGCTATTTATTATTTGTGTTGATTTTCTCTCATCATAACTGACACTGAATTTCAGGTATATAGTTGTTTTTAAATTTGGACTTATTTTTTCTGCAAATTACAGTATGTCGCGAAAACGCGACATCGGGCACTTACGGACCGAACAGTATTTTTTTTTACTATTTTTACTGTCACGTGTTTCTCTAAATATCCACGCACAAACAATAGAATATAACAAACTAAACATACGGACATGCAAGGAGATGTAGAATCACTTGCAAAATGTACTTTATTAGCTCAGGCATAGAGTTACATAACTCTGCTGCACCTGCTCACTGTCTAACTCTTATGAATGGGTATTTCGAAGCCTTGCTGTCGTAGTTCTACTACACTTCAGTAACACACTACATATGAAAGGACTTCCTTCAATGTGTAGAGCCTTAGTTGTCCCCGGTTACGTCATTTTCGTGAACTCTTATTGAAGGTCAACTAATAAAGACGCATATTTCTGACAGTGTTCAGCAATTGTATATTCGTACATGCTCAATGCAGCTGATGTGGGTACTTAGTGTCACTGCTGTGGGTACTCAGTGCCACCGGTGTGGGTACTCACTGCTATTGTTGATGGTACCCTATGTTTCCGATTCGTGCTACGGCTATTAAGCTCGACTGATTCTGCTATTGATTACCAATGACAGTGCTGTAGCTACATATTGCCACTGGTATGTGTACTCAATGCTGAAACAGTGGGTACTGAGTGTTGAAGCCATGTGTACTGAGTGCTGAAGCTGTGGGTACTCACTGTTGAAGCTGTGGGCACTCAGTGTTACTGCAGTTGGTTCTTGTTGTCACTGCTGTGGGTACTCAGCGCTGGAGCTGTTGGTAATCGATAACGTTGATGTGGGTACTCAGCCTTAGCAGTGGGTACTCTGTATCACTGTTGAGTGCTTAGTGCTCAAACTGTGGTTGCTCAGTGTCACTGATGTTGGTACTCAGTGCTGGAGATGTGGGTACTCAATACCACTGCAGTCGGTACTAAATGCCAGTACAATGCCACTAATGTGGGTATTCAATAGCACTGCAAAGGGTATGTTTGTCAGTATTCAACCTTACTGTGTTTATTACGGGGTGTAAGTCTTTGTTCAGTGTTATTATTGTCAAGGTCACTGTAAAGACCTTTCTTTGGTGGTATCCAGGATAGTGGTCCACCACCTCACTTCCTGTTGTCTAGTATGTTTTTTATGTTCTCCTAATATTTTACAATATTATTTCAAAGCTAAATTCGTTATATTGTACCCAGCAACATGATCACATTATCCCAGCATCGTTTTCTCTCCATATGCGAATGTCAATGAAACATGTGAACTCTACTTCACCTACCACATGGACCGTAACTTTCTAAAGTGCACATGTATATATAGACAAAGACTATATTGTATATCTTTAACTTATTTATAATCTTACTTGAATAAATGACAGCTTGGCGATGCATCGTGTTTCGTTATACCTGTTTGGCACCCAAGTTCCATTTTATGTCTTATTGCCGGATGTCGCGAAAACGCGACAAACCGTAATTAGCAGATAACTTCAAAAATCATTATCATATGTGATTTATACTGTTTACATACATAAAAGAGTGAATAATAAAGCTATTAGTATTTTTGTAGCAAAAAAGAATCACCTGTTTAGTAATAATAATCAATGTAATTAGGCTGAATTCACGAAGTGAAAAAAATTACGATGCAGCAGTAGGATAAATGTACCTATGCACAAATGATAAGCGATAAATCGGTATTAAAAGTTAATGCATATATTTTTGCTAATGGGTGATATGAAATTTTATTTTCCATCCACATTCCTTCTGTAAATAGATGTATACATGGTAGTGGAATTACTTTAAACACCCAATCCAAAAATGATGAATATTTTGAATTTAGATTTTTTTTTGCTTTAAATTAAATAGCACATTAATCTTTAAATATTTCAATCCACGTCTCTGTTATGTCATGTCTAGGTAAAACAAGCAACACTGGAATGGCTGGATAATCCATCAGAAGCGAAAATAGATTTTAAAGAAGTGGTTTCTATGGTAACAACAGTAAATACTGCCCTACTTGAACTTAAGCAAACGATTTCTGGTAATATTATAATATGTAATAGTGTATTACTTTTTGTTTTTATTTACTAAATTTGATTAATAATTTAGAACGATCAAAAACAATTGACAAATACAGTAAAGATAACGATACATCACTAAACTTTAATTATTATACATTTTGTCTTCATTGACTACGTCGTCCATTTAAAATAATTTCATCCTATGGATTGTAATATACATCGGTATATGTAAAAACTATTGTTTGTTTTCTAAAATTCAAAATATTCTTATTGGAATGATAACACATGGTTTAAAAGCCGTTTTAATATTTCGAATCCTTAAACCATATTTGTTCCACATGTCTAAAAGTTTCCTGCACCAAGTATCAAGCAATGGCTGCTGGAGATAAGACAACACAAGAGAATAAAAGTGTTGACTCTGTACACGATGCACATGATTTTGAACTTTCTATGGCAGGTAAAACTTTAACTTTACTTAGCGAAAAAAAACGAAATAATTGTAAATCGTAATTGTAATACGTACCATATATATATATATATATATATATATATATATATATATATATATATATATATATATATATATATATATATCAGTTCACCACTTCTTCATTGCATGCATTAGCATAATCCGTACCACGTTTAAAAGTAACTACTTTACTTTTGTCTTTAGTTTGACCTATTTTGATTATTTAGCCTTCACCTAGAATATGCTAACATAACTAATTTTGACAAGTTGCAGCTGATTTAAGTAACAATCTGGAGCAGAGAGTAGAACGTCTTGAAACAACGCTATCTTCACCGCAAAGTAGAAATAAAGAAAGTGTAGATGAATTGACAGAAATAAAACAATGGAGGGACACATATACAAAAGAACAAAATAATATGAAGGAAGAAATAAAACAATTGGCTCTAAAGGAAAAGCATAATTCTAAGCAATTCAGAAAGCAAATTAACGAACAACAAATTATAAGGGATGAGATGAACGAAGAAATGAAAAAATTGAATGAAATAAAACAATGAGGAAAACACTAATATTAGAACATAACACTATGGCGAAAAAACTTGAAGAATTGGCTCAGAAAGAAACAGACAATAAAGAAAAGACTCGAGAGCAAATAAAAGAAACCAAAACCAGAATAAATAAGTTAAATAAAGAAATTGAAACCCTCAAAGAAAAAGAATCAAACACAAGACAAGCACTAGATATCACGCATACAGAGTTGAATAAATTTGATATTATATTAAGCAAAATAAATCAAGAATTGGAAATTCACACAAATAAAAAAGAGATATTACAAAAAGAAATAAAAAGTCATTCTGATGTTATATCCAACTTGAGGGAAGAAGGAAAAAAAAACAAAAATACGGAAACCAAATTAGAAAAGTTAATGTCAATGGTTTGTACTTATTTAGTTTTTTGAACACATATGATATTTTATTAAATGGTTTAGTTGTTTGTTTTATATTAGTTAATAGCTACACATTTTAATAACTAAAAACTTGCTCTTTTGCACTGTGTTTCCATTTTATTTGTGAACATGATTGTATTATTCTACTTCTAGCAGTGTCACGTCAAAGATCTTACAACAAAGACTGATGCCCTTTGAAAGTTTAATTCAAAAGTTTAATCAAAACCTGGCTAGTAGACAGATAAACAAACAAAAGGTAAAGTGTTTAGTATCTAATGCGATTTTTCACATTGAGAGTCTACAAATCGCATGTATCTACGACATGCACTTGTGACAGAAGTATTGCTTGAGACTAATATAAATATATTAACAATAGAACAATAAAAATATAATCACTTTTTGTAGGTTCAAAAGTTTCTTTTTTTTCTGTTGTAAATTCGTAAAAAAATCAATTGTAAAGAAAAAGGGGTCGGCGTGGTTGAGTCAGAAAAAGCTCATGGTTGCTAAACCAAAATGACTCGAGTTCAAACCCTCGGGCAGATAGGGCTCGTTAGCTGGAGAGACAAATCCAAAATCCAACAACTGCTTCCTTGTATTTTGTTCTTGGTTGGACAAAGGCTATGGAAGCAAATCCAAAACGAAAAGCAGACTGAAACCGGAGTCAATGGCCTCAACGGCACATAACCAGTTGACACGTATCCTTAATTGTGATGGAGGCGTGGTCGAGTCGGCAAAAAGCTCATGGTTGATAAATTCGAAAAAAGTCTCGAGTTCAAACCCTCTGGCAGATAAGACTTGATCCCTTCAAACACTAGAAAGTAAGAACGAAGAAGAAGAAGAAGAAATTGTAAAAAAAAAAGGATACAATTTGTATAATGGCTTGATGCCATCTTTTATTTTTAGCTTGCAACCCTGGAAAATGATATTTTGAAATTGTCAAATGATCTAGATTCAATTAGTAAGTATGTTACGATAAACTCCTTTTACAATAATTACAAGCCATTGGTACCCGTTAAACGTGAGATATAGGCCTATATTTTTTAAATGGTATAATTGGTTGAGAATATATTGCTTTATATATATATATATATATATATATATATATATATATATATATATATATATATTTATATATATATATATATATATATATATATATATATATATATATATATATATATATATATATATATATATATATAAAGCAATGAATGTCTGTGTTTGTCCGTCTGTTTATCTTCTATGCATTACAACATCTTTCATCCAATCTACATGAAACTTTGGGAAGTTGTTGAGAGGGAGGCAACTGTGAAAATAAATTTTCAAATTTACAGAAATGGCGCCCCGGTAGCGCGCGGTTTTATTTTTCTCTATTTACGGTATATAAAAATAAAAGTCGAATGCGGTTTGACAACGTTCATCTGATCGCCATGTATCTTTGTGGAGGTGGGGGGGGGGGGATATGGGAGAAGGTTTCTGCTAATTTTGGCGCCCTGGGTTATCATGTTAGCACCATGGTGCCTACGTTATTTTTAAATAGCCAGGGGCCGTAAGCAACGCCCCTGCGGTAGAGTAATCAGGTGTTCTCGTGAGCGCCCTCTACGTCCCCGACACTTAGGAGGTCAGTGATAAAAGGTGATATTACGGTGAATGATTAAAGTACACTCAAGGCTTTCATACAGCACGCTGGGCGATAGTGTAGGTAAACTCGTGTCTCGATAAATATGATGAAAGCGCAGGCATTGTTTACACTTAAATAACTCAGTTTTAACAAACAAGGTAAGACGTCTAAAAATATACGATTGGTAAATCAGTCATGAAATGCTACTAATATATCGTCAGATTTTTGTGTGTCTTTTATGCATTGCTACACTTTTCGTCAGATCGCCATGAAACTTTGGGAAGATGTTGATAATACTCCTGGTGAGGTTTCTGCGTTTTAAAACGTTTTAAGTAGGGCTATTGTCGAGTGAAAACATAATAAGTGTCTGGGAACGAGAACAAAAATTAAAACAGGAATAAAGAGACGTACACACAGACACACACAAAGACACACATACATAGAAAAAAGACATCGTTACACACAACACAAATATTGGCATATGGGTCATTCGTAAATGACGTCACGATTTTTTGGACGATTTTTACCTCCCCCCTCCCCTCCGTCACACGTCGTCACAAAAAGCCAGACACCCCCTACAGTGACGTCACACCTCAGCCTACAACACCCCTCAGAATTGCAGTTGAATTTTTTTTAAAACATCGATATTTTTTTCTAAAATCTTGCCTGAACTCTGTAAAAATAGATTATTTTAATCAAATCCTATTACAATTTATTAAAACAGTTTTCTAAAACGCGAAATAGTATCTAAAATTCGTTTTTTATTATTGCTTTTTTAAAATGCAAAAATGTGACGTCGCACCATGTGACCCCCCCCCCCCCCCCCTCCTCCCCCTCATCACACACCGTCACAAAATTACGGACCCCCCTCCCGGGGTGACGTCATTTATGGACGACCCCATAACAAACACACAAACAAAACGTATGTTTCAACATATTATACAATCTTGTAAGTTTATCTGTTAAGGGTTAATACAAGAAATTAAAAAAAAAGGTTCGTAATCGTTAGGCGATCGAATGATATTCCCCTTTTTTCTAACTCTCTTTGTCGCCCCACTCCCATCAAGTTTTATCCAACGATTACTTAATTACTTAAAATGAGACTTGTATACTACATAAGTGTATAAATATGAGTGTATCCCTTTCTTTAATGTCAATGATAACGGATGTTAAAAACCCAGGACAAGACATCAAAAGCAACTCTGCTGTGACTTTAACTCTACAAGATGAAGGGAAGAAAAATGTGGCCCATACTACAGACCTTTTAGTAGCTTTAACTACAAAGGTATCCTCTTTACTTTCTCGTATATACGAAGTAGGCTATAGAGAAAGTATTGTAATCGTGCAAAAAAAATCGAGATTTTTGCTAATCTCGACGTTTTACACCTCCTTGAGTCGGAAAAACATAGTTTTGCAATCTTGTCCGTATGTCTGTGTGTGTGTGTGTGTATGTGTGTGTGTGTGTGTAAACACGATAATTTGAGTACCGTTACAGCTAAGTTGATGAAATTTCATATATAAGTATTTTATCAAAATCATAGATCCGTATCAACTTTTGAGCGATTTCCTATAATCGAAAGTGATACTTTTTTTACCTTTAATTTTTCAAAAGCCTATAACTTGAGTACTATTTCAGATAGATAAATAAAATTTAACATGTAAGTAATCTAATTCTCTACCTTCTATCAAATTTTGACTTATTTCCGTTTACCTGAAGTAGTAATTTACGCTATTTCCAATTTCTCAAAAAGCGCATGTAAATTTATAAAATACTTATAATATTGCGCACATCTTCATTTGGCGTTCACTTGGTGTGCAATTCTTTTTTCATGAGATTTTATTCTACTTTAAAAAGTATTTAAAATGGATTAAAAATCATGTCTATATCCCGAGTTCCCATCCCTTGTTGTTTTATATAAGAACTAGCCATCGGTACCCGTTTCACGTGAATTATAAGCCTATATTATTATATTTTAAAATGTTGTACTTGTTTGAGAAAAATAATTTATGAAATAGTTATTGGTCAAAACGCAATGTGCTTTACTACATGCCGAACGATATTAGTGACAAAGCAAAGAAATAACTAATTAGCTAAAAATCCGACACATTTAACATCACACATGCACACACTGATTAAGTGACTTAAATTATTCCTTTAAAAATTTGGCTATTCAATGGTCAGTATGTTGTTTTAAGTAATTTGTATTAGTTTTACCGATAAAATTGTATATATTTCATAGCGTACGTCTCAATAAATAGATCTATAGATCTAGATCTAAATCAAATTTGAATGAAGTAGTTCCTCTCTTTATAGTCTAAAATCGGAAGATTCACATATAAAAAAAAACTAAAAAAAAAAGTTTGACCTGGTGTGTCTCGATCCCGCGCCTACTGAGTGTTTTAATTACACTATCATATCAGCTATTTAGGCACCGTATAATATATTTCTATAAAATATATTTACACCGGTGTCAGATAATGGAATCTTCTTTAAAAAAAAGGGGTGTTAGGTTACTGGAAGTTAACTAAATACACACATGGCTGGCTAATGTCAAAGCTAACTCTGTCCCTAACCCCAACTCTGGTCCTACCATACGCCTAACCCTAATTTCTAACCATAAAATTAGTCGAGATTACAATACTACTAACAACCCAACACCCCTTTTTTAAAGAAAATTCCATTATCGGACACCGGTATCTATAATCATTCGAGTCTCAATCTAGATCTTAGCGACTTAGCTTCTACGTCTAGTTTTTGCGTAGATTTAGATCTAGTCTAGATCTAGATTCTCTAGATCTAGAATCCAAAAGATAAAATAAATTTTATAAGTTTAGGTCGGAAAAATTGTATTGTATACATTTCATAGCGTACGTAGATCTATATCTAAATCAAATTTGAATGAAATAGTTCATTTCTTTTTATTCTAAGCTCGGCAGATGACGTCATTAGTTAATGTATAAACATTAGTGAAGTCATTGTATCATGGGTTCTTTTTCACAACTATAAACGCTTTTCCTGTTGCATAACTAAAACTGTTTTTCTACATTCGATTATGCCTTTATTTTTTATTTTCGTTCTTTAAATAAAATGGTGGTTATACATTTAAAACATCTACCATATTATTTTTAACCAAAGTCCGTATCAAGTTCTCCATATATCGCTGCAGATTCTGATGTGATATCCGGCGAAAATATTTTGCAGACAGAGAGAGAGAGAGAGAGAGAGAGAGAGAGAGAGAGAGAGAGAGAGAGAGAGAGAGAGAAGTGCGCACACGGTCTTTTATATATTAGGATATTCGAGAAAGTTTAGGGGAGATCACTCCCGGTTTATTATCAGTTATGATTGACATATTCCTTTCTTTATTTGGCAACTGATGATCTTTTTGAACCTTGTTAAAATAATGTGAACTAGTATTTGGACCAATTTAATTGTGTTTTGAATGCAATTTAAATAAAAATAAGGCGTTAACTATTTTAAGAATGTAAGACATTCATGTTTTACATGAGTGAATTTTTGTACGAACACAATTTCTGATACAATAACTTGTAAATTTTACATACATTTTAGGTTGAAACTCGAGAAAGCGAGCTTGTAAAGCTGTTGAAAGATTTTAAGTCTATCGGTATGTTAAATAGTAAACATAAACATAATTGTGAACAGACACTTGTGCAAATGTTCATGATTAAACTCTGACATTTACTTTCCAACAGAGACCCGTGTATGTCAGCCTAACATCTGTCAAATTCACCTGGCTAACAACATACCTGTAACTACTGGATCAATTCTTTCAACATTTTATAACGTGTGGGAATCTTACGGCAGCCATTTTAATAGAACAACAGGAAAACTTGTAGCCCCAGATGATGGTTTATATCTTGTGATTGTAACGCTGCAGGAAAGTGAGGCGAAACTGATTGAAATTGATTTGTACAAGGGTGATAGATATTGTAAGGGCTTTCTTGTCAACTCTGCTAACACATCTACCGCTGGATCAACTGTTGTTGACATGATGAAAGGCGAAGAACTTTATTTTAAAGTGGAGAAAGCTGGTGATGGTGCTAAGTTACAAGGAGGAAGTGGTTTCACTATACTTAGATTATAAATTTAATCATGCTTATGAAATAATTAGTTTATCATTTAATTCACGCCGAATATTTTCGATTGTTTTTGATTATCCAATGTGCCTATATTATATGTACATATCGTTTCAATATATAGGTTTCGCTTTTTCTGGCAGTCATATTATAGAGAAATATGTGAACACACTGAATTATAATCTACACTGCAATATTTTTTAAAGCAAACGGTTTTACTTCTTTTTCGGTTGCATTTTAAAATACAACAATTAAACATACAAATTGTTTGTGTTTGAGTGTTATAACATAAATTAATGTTAATACAATATAAAGTAGCTATGCTTCGCATGACATTGTGAAATGAACATATACATCATAAACTATTATGTCTTGTCAACTGAGTTAGGTTTATGTAATACTAGGCATACTGCCTAACCTTGCTTAGGTGTTAAGCAAAGTATTTTGACACAAATGTAAAAATAAAGTCTGCATATATGAAAATGTTTTCTTACATAGGTGCCGGTATGTTGAGGACAGACAAAGGTAGTATTAAAAAAGGACGTGTGTTCTTGTGTATAAAACTTACTAGTCTTATTTCTTACTTACACATTAAATAATTATCAAAAATTAAATCTCTAAATATATAATTGTAAATGAAAGTATGTGAGTGTGTGTGTATGTACGTGAGTGTGCTTGTTTGTCCTTTTTGCATTACTACAATTTTCAATAATTATAAAGAATATTAAATTGTAAATATAAAAGAAGTTACTTCTGCTTAAAAAAATATTAACTTGGTTCTTTTCCTTGGCCTATAAACAATTCTAAGATGAGCTTGCAAATCATGAGTAATACCCTAAAATAATTAGGCTAAGTTTCGTCAAACAAGTTAATAAAAAGGCGATTGGTAATCTATCTACACATACAAACATGAACATGTTTTGTTTGCTTGTGTCTTTACTTGTCTAAATTATTCAGTCTGGCAAGTTGTTGAGAACAGGGCCTACTCTTTTGGAGGTGTCTGCGAAATTTTTTTTCGAATTGGCGGCGCACCAGTTTTGTGCGATTAGTCGCTCCCGGATTCCATCCTAACCACTATAACCCCATAGTTCGATTTAAACAGTGAGATTAACTATGGCTACGTTGGGCTACTATGACATTTCAAGTTTTCCGTCATGACGCCTAAACGACCGCCTAGGTGTGCTCTGTCTCACTGCTACATAGGGTGGTCAACTTACTCACAAGGCTTTCATACAGGACCCCTGGGGAGTCTGGCGTTAGCTGGCAAAAACAGGCACCATGACAACTAAGATCCGAGAAACAAAGCGCCAGACTTGTTAATATTTATATATCGCAGTTTTAAAGAAACAGGCATGCGTCTAAAAATACACAATCGGTAACGCATGGATGAAATAATGTTAAAGTATCGTGTCGGCCCGCGGTAATGTGCGTGAAGGATACGCTAGTTCTATGTAAATATCTAGGTAATATCAATATGAACTGTTTGCAACAAATCTAAGTGAGTGAACATTAATTGTCGTGATAACTCTTTGACTAGTGGAAACCGTTATTTTCGGAATTTTCCGTTTAGCAATTTTAGTTTGACATACAGACTATCGAGATCTGCAAAAAACAAACACAATTACAACCATTAAATTGACAAAACTATAGGTACTTAAGTACGAACTGATTTTAAAATTAAATTATAAATAAGGGCATTTTTACTAGAAGTAAATATTTCTGACAAATATCATCAATGTCAAATAAAATATGTCAGAATCTGAATTTCAAAGAATAAAATATGCCTTGCACACCATTTCTTACAATGTTTATGTGTGTGTATGTATGTATGTGTGTGTGTGTGTGTGTGTGTGTGTATATGGCTGTTAGTGTACAGCCAGGATGTAACTCAATAAACAGACAATTAAAGTTTTTATCGAGAAAACTATAAAGTTACATGCAGTATAATAAAAATATATTTTAACATATTTTCCAATGCATAACTTGGATTTATATTTTGTACACACCATACACATATTCGTATTCGTATTGTCCATTTAACTTATTCTATCAATTAGTTCGTTGGTTTCTTCAAAATAATCTGATTTTAATTACATATTTAACAAGAACGTTATTTTTCATTTTTAACAAACGAAACTTATATTTTTTTAAAGTGCAAATGATATTTTCCGTGTTTATCCCTGCTCTGGTACCACTGGGTCAATATGACCCCAAGCCCTCTTTGGACCAGACTATTTTGAATACTACCAGGATTAATGACCTCACCTGCCATGTATTTTTTTGTAAGACCTTCCTAAGTACGTTACACATGTTTGATAGTTTTTAAGTATTACTGATTATTTATTATTTGTTTTTACTTTCCCTTGGGGTCATATTGACCCCATAGTACCGTCAATGTGACGAAAGTATTTTCTTATCATTTACAGATTTTCAATGCATAATAACATGGCCACACGAAATAGATTTTCTGCAGATGCAGTTCTGCAGTTATTAGATGATCTAAGTGACATAGATAGTGAAAACAAGGACATAGAAAATGATTTGAGCTGGGATGAAAGTGACAATGAACCAAGTAGAGAAGAACCAGATGTCACCAGTGAAGTTAGCGCTAATGAATACGAATCAGAAAATGAATCGGACAATTATGACACTCAAGATATTCTTGGAAAAGACGGTTATTTGTGGTCACAAAAGCCGAAAATTCTCCGAAGAACACCGATGCGAAATATCGTTACACAGAAGCCAGGTCCAAAAGGGAATGGGTGTCAGTTACATTAGAAACGCTGGATTTTTGTACCAAACCAACGTTGTAGAAATACGAGCACTTATAGGCATCCTACTCTTCTTGGGTGCCACAAAAAACTCCAAGGAAAGTACTGCAAGTATTCGGTCGAACGATGGTACTGGCAAGCCAATTTGCATATCAGCGATGAGTCAAAAACGGTTTTTAACCAACTCTCTGTGACCGCTCCACTCTCCCCCACCCTCCCCTCCCCCACCCCCAATCTGCAGATTATCACTTAGTGAGGACATCAGCCGACAGTAATGACTGGACAAAAGACCTCGCTCTGGCTTAATCTAATCATTCCGTGGTTCCTGTCCTCTTAATCATGTTGGGGCTGTTAGAGCGTTAATCACGGATAATCATGGGATAGAGTTAATCATGGATAATCGTGTGATAGATTTAATTGTGAAACATCATCTGATAGATTTAAGTATGAAACATCATCTGATAGATTTAATTGTGAAACATCATCTGATAGATTTAATTATGAAACATTATCTGATAGATTTAATTGTGAAACATCATCTGATAGATTTAATTATGAAACATTATCTGATAGATTTAATTATGAAACATCATCTGATAGATTTAATTATGAAACATTATCTGATAGATTTAATTATGAAACATCATCTGATAGATTTAATTATGAAACATTATCTGATAGATTTAATTATGAAACATCATCTGATAGATTTAATTATGAAACATCATCTGATAGATTTAATTATGAAACATCATCTGATAGATTTAATTATGAAACATCATCTGATAGATTTAATTATGACAATTCCACAACGAGGGCCCAGCGAAGAGCTAACGACAAGTTGGCGTGTGTTCGCGACATATTCGGCAAATTTGTCAAAGCTTGTGAAGCAAACTACACCCCAGGAACTGGGTGCACAGTGGATGAATCTCTCCTTGCATTCAGAGGAAGATGTAGTTTCAAGCAATATATACCAAATAAACCAAGTAAATACGGCATCAAGATATATGTATTGGCTGATAGCAAAACGTTCTACTCGGTTTCTTAAAAAATTTATATGGGAGCTGGTACTCATGCACCAGGGATGCAAGTTCCAACCAAAGCAGTCTTGGATTTGGTACCCACAATTTCTGGAACAAACAGAAACATTGCAACCGATAACTATTACACATCAATTGATTTGGCCAATGAACTAAAATCCAGGAATCTCACATTAGTTGGCACTATGAAAAAGAACAAAGCTTGCATTCCACCGTCATTTTTTATGAAAGCAGCAGAAGGAACAGTTCAATACGCCTTTGATCATGCAAACGATTACACTCTCTTGTCTATTGTTCCAAAGAAGAACAAGAGAGTTGTATTTCTTTCCACCATGCATTCACAAAAATCGACTGATGCAGCTACTGGGAAAGAAGAAATAAATGTATTTTACAACCAAGAAAAAGGTGGTGTAGACAGCCATGATCAAATGTGCAGCTTTTATACCACGGCAAGAAAAACAAATTGTTGGCCAATGAGGGTATTTTATGGAATGATTGATAGTGCTGCCTTGAACGCATTTGTTATTTTTACTGAAAATGTGCCCAACTTTGGAGAACGTACGAAAAACAAACGACAGGCATTCTTGAAGAAACTGGCCATCGCTTTGATTACACCACATGCACATCAACGATTGGAGATAAAGCAGACGCCAAAAGATGTCAAACAGATCATCCATACCTGCGGCATTGTGAAGGTACCAACACAAACAGCAAGCACCACATAACCTCATTCAGGACGCAAGAGATGTTATATTTGTCCCAGATCTTGTGACAAGAAAACCAAACTAGTCTGTAATGAGTGAAATCAGTTTGTGTGTGAAGAACATACCAAGCGAGTTTGCAACCAATGCCAGCAATGACATTTTTCCTACATCGCGTTGAAAAAACCTAAATATTGTCTACAAAACATGAATACATATTTATCCACATGTATTAACACATTGTAGTATTATAAGTAAGCAAAAATTAAATAAATGTAGCAGGTAACAAAGACAACTTGTCTATTCTCTGATCCTGACATATACATTTACACTCTGATTACCCAGCACCCTTATACATGCGTCGAATAGCAAATAATATTACAGTTGCGGATGGAAGTTGTTTAACTTATACTAATTAAAATGTGTTCATTTATATAATATGAAGACGTGTCAGACTAGGTTATAAATAGTAGGCATTATGTAGACTGTGTTAAAAGGCATATTTTTAAAACCACTCATTTTTTAAAATTTTGTTTAGATGCCTCCTAGAATTCAGATCAAGCTTGTTAGAGAACATGTGGAATATTTGGAGGAACAGATACGAGTTATGCCCTTGAAATTATAGAAACGTGTATGAAATCAGTCCTTTTTTGATTGAAAGATGAAATCAGGTTGTTCTTGGAAGTGCAAGAGAAACAGGACCTTTTGATATACTTTAAGGACAACGAGGGGTTGGAGAGAGTCTCATTCCTAGCAGATATATTCTAACATCAACATAAGCTTAACCTGAAGTTTCAGGAAAAATGAACGAATATTATCTCTTTTCATGATAATCGCGGGTCATTTTTATCAAAGCTGCAAAATTGGCAAGAAAAATAAACCTTGGAAATATTGCAGTGTGGTAGATGAATCTGAATGTGAAAGAAATAAAAAATTGTAACAGGATTCTAGGCATTTTTTTTAATATCTTGAAAACGAACTGCAACGTTATTTTCCCCTGAGCTGAAAGAAGTAGAATCTGCATTTTCTGCTTCCCTTAATGTTGCCAACATTCTTCATAAATTAAAAGATTAAATCTTGGATATGCGGAATGATTCCGCGTAACTTACCGTGTTAA